CAGGCATAAGAAATTGATCTATCCTAATTATCATATTTCTGGCAGTCCTTATAAATATTTTGGGGGAAAAACACTGGAATAATATATCAACAAAAAAATTCTTCTATAATTTTCTTTAAGTGTAATATTCACAGTAATCTTGCTTAGTTGCAGCATCATTGTGAAATAGTAACCATAAATCAGATTGCAGAGGCTAAGAATCAAATGCATTTGGATTTCATTATTTAAGCTGATATCCTTTGCTTTTAAATATTTAAGCTTTAGAACAGTGGTCCCAACCTTTCCAGCTTTGCAGACTGGGGGGGGGGGGAGAGGGGATGGTTCTGTGCGGGTGGCAGGCAAGCCAAATGGACTGCAGCCTGGGGATTGGGGACCCATCCTTTAGAACTTTCTTCCAGATAATCCTGGAGTACATATTTAATCAATTTTTGACTGTGTGCCATTCTTAGATAGACTGGTGGGGATTGGGGTACAACAATTTTAAAAGGACCACATATTTTAGACAAGAATAAAACCAAGCATTTTACTATTATTTTTTTTTGGTCAAAGGCTATTTTCTTTAAAGGGGCACATATCGTTAGTGAGTGTAATTTAAGTAGGCAGTGAGCGGATCAGAGCCATAAAGTTAACAGTTCTCTCTCTTTCTTTGCCTCCCTCTCTCACTCAATTCTAAACAGCAGGCTATCAGTAAAGGAATAAATAGCATCATCAATAGTCTACTGATAATTTACCAAGAGATTTTAAAATTTGGCTAAAGCTGCCCATCATTTGCATATACAAATATATACACAGTTATAGTTAGACAAACATGCTGAACAAAATTTAATTCTTAAAATGCATACCTTTCCATCGAAATGCCTGACTGAGGTGTATCCCTGATACCAATTTAAGTCCATTGTGAAACTGTTTATAGTTAATTATTATCAGTTTAATTTATGGTACTACTTGTAGTCCTTGGGCTATTCAGCAACTGTTCAAAATTGCAATGGTGCTGAATAAAAAGTAATTACAACTGGTCCTCAAAGATACAGCCTTTGCAGCACTCCTGAGGTCATGTAATCAAAATTTGAATGCTTGGCAACCAGCCCGCATTTATGACTGGTCACAGTTTCCTATGGTTACATTCTCCTGCCCTTTGCAAACTGCCTCTGCTTCAAGTCCCCCCACCTGCCCATCCCCCTCCATCTTAGCCTTTTTGGCTGCCCTGCACCCCTGCTGCTGCCCCTTGCTTCTTTGCCATGTTCTTCTATTGCTGTCGCCAATCCAAGCACAATCTTAGCCTGGACTTTGCAATCTGGACTCTGCCACCAAGTGACAGGGTCATATGACGCTTTGCTTAATGACTGCTTTGCTTAGTGACAGAAAATCCAATCCCAACTCCAGTCATAACCGGAGGACTACCTGTAGAAATTATGGATGTTTTGTTGTTATGAAGTTTGCTGTGGATGCTATAGTGTTTATATTGCTGAACCTGGTTGTTTTATTGTTTCATGCTGTATTTATACTGTAACATTTTTACAGAGTTATGTAGACTATTTTAATTATTTTTTTGTAAACCACTATGAGGCAAAACAGACTCATTAATGCAGAAGCACAATAAATGTGGAATGAAAAGAATGACTACCGGTATTCCTAGGCATAGACTTGTATATATTTTTTAAAAATCATCTTTCAGAAACCTAGCTTTCAACCAGTTCTGCTAATACAATACTAACATTAGCAATAACATCCAGGAATAAATTCTCACACTGAGGTGACCCATCACACAATATATTTTAAAATCGTGCTAAAAAAATTAATATTTAAATGCAATATATTTAAAAAATATTAGCCCAATTGTATAGGTTTTTTTAAACAGCAACAATTGAAAGTTTGAGTCTTTGGGTACTGTGGATGCCAAAATCCAAACAAACATTTCAATTGATTTGGACACTGATACCAGTTAATTGCCTAATTAATACATTTTGATTATATTTAATAGCTAATCACTGATTACAGAAACCAGTAAGACTGCTTTCATATGTCTTGCTCTACAGAAGTAAAATAATATATATATATATACTTGATATCTAGGCAAAGTTTTTCTTTTAATGTAGTAAGAGTATTGAGTAAAGTGTTTGTATGCAAATATGCATGCAAACCATTACTTATGTGGGTGCATACCAACCCTTTCCTTCCATTTATGACATCTTAGTATAGGATACAGTATGAACATTTTTAAAGTAGCATTTCTACTACTTGCCTCCCTGCTTTGTTTTTAAGTGACTGTGATTTCAATATTATAATTTATTGAACTGGTCTTTGCTGATTGCAAAAATTAAGTTTTAGTGGCACCTGCTGAACATTAATGTTTTATTAATTAATCATAGACTGTGTTGATTAAAGAAAGTATAATCAATTATAGAAGCCCTTTCAACTAACTACAGTTGCATAATCTTGTTTGTTCTCTGTTATGGCATGTAAAAGAAGACAAATATTAAAATAATCTCAGTATAATTTACCTAAGCATGCACTTCTGATTTATTGCTTTATCTAATGTATTATGCCAATATTTTATATGAATATCTGTCACTATTTGACATTTTAAAAATAATTTCTTTATAGAAGATGCAAATATTTTTGCACCTTGACTTTCAATAAAGGTTGAAAGTCAAGGGCTTAATTGAAAAAGAACATATATCACTGAAGTTAATAAGTCATAGCTAGCTGGAAATTAAGCTAGCAATACTTTGCCCATTTTTTATAGGAAATTGTGTTTTAGGTTAATGGAAAGTTAGGTACAGGTAAATTTAAACAATTGTTTCATATTTATTTTTCTTTCAGCTTTAAAACTGAAGAGTTTAAACTCTCTTTGCTAGTTTATCAAACCTGAGAAGTCACAATCTTAAAATCATGGAAGTATTTAAAAGTTTAATTAAAAATGATGAGACACCTTTCAAATCCTTTATGTTACGTTTTAAATTTGACCTCAAAACCACCTTAATAAGCTATTATAATTCTGTAAGTTTACTACTGTCTTTATCCATTTAAAAAATGCCAAACAAAGACTGCAAATTTTCCTAGCTACTACTTCATATTTCAGATTCATGTCTTTAGTTTCTCATTTAATGTCAAGAACTCCATTCATTTTTTTTCAAAGTTCTCAGAGCATCTGTCCTCCTGCCACACAGTAAGCAAAGATTTAAAACTATATCCATACATGAAAGCTTTAAAATATATTTAGTAATCCCTCTGTTGTTATTCTTTCTCATAATAGTTTTTTTCATTACTTGGAAAGATCAGGTAAAAATGGTAAGGCAAAACAGATCTTCAAAAAGAATGATACAGTAATATTTTCATTAAACTACAAACCCTAGAATATTATCTCTATAACTTGGATAACAAGCATGCTCGAATATTGTTCTATCAAACTGAGATACTGAAAAATGAGCAGGCTGTTTGCTTTACGTCAAAAAAAGAAAAAAAAATGCAGTTCACTTATTCACATGGAGATATAAATAGCTCTTTAAGTTGTCCCTTCCATTTCTCACTGCTGCTGTCTTAAGAACTGTCCTACTTTGCTAAAGGGCTGTGTAAGAACATTTTTTTGATTGGGATTAGGGCTCTTTACAATACTTCTGATGGGAATCCAAAACAGATATCGCTTTGTGGAAATGGGAGTCAAAGTGAAGGGGAAATACTGATAACCTATGATGCCCTACTTTGGAAAATATATTGACAATTTCTAGCAGGAAAGAAAATCATTTAAGCACAGAGTTCAGTTGGGAACCAAATTATTTCAGGGACTGTCAAAATAATTATCAAGTTATACATTTCTTGTAGAAAAAACCACAAACTTTATGGCATTGATTTTGGAGGAAGAGAGACTGGAAGACAATGACTAGGGAGAAAATTAGTACTGTATCTTCATAGATCTCAAAGAAGAATCTGAGTGGCACTGATGAAAAACCAATGTACATGAAGAAGGCCTGCAAGTTGGTTCACCTTGGGAAGCAGATTAGAAGCCACGGTTCACACTGACTACCTAGCCCTTACGATCTGTGTTTAGAAGCCAGTCTCCCACCATTACCCTGCCTGACCTCATGTGCTGAGGCAGAGGGTACAGGTTCCTTACAGAGTTAACTTAAATTGCCAGGTTAATCATGTAGAAAATGTTTTTAAAGGCTTTTTTCTGCTGGTAGTGTCATAATGGCAACTCGGATGGAAGAAATCTGTATGTAAGGCCATGCCCACCCCCCAAAATTAATTTAGAAGGGAACACTCTAGAGAGTGACAGCTCAGCTGCATTCATAAGAGATAGAGACTGATCTGAAGATGCGAGTCAACCCATCTTGTACCTGGGCTGGGGAAGAGAAAAGGGCTATATAGGTATCAGGGGAAGGGAGAGAAAATGCTGTGGAAATAAGTTGCCCAGGTCAGAACATTTGCAGATGGAGGAAGGGCCACCCCAAAACACCTTTCCCAAGAAGGAATGCGGGGGAAGAATTGGCGAAGTTGCCCGACGACAGGGCGGGTGTCGGGGTGGAGGACCTCTGCAGACTGAAGAGCAAAGGGGGGAAGGAAAGCAGCCCCCACCGCTCACCTTGTAGACATCGCCGTAGGTGCCGCTGCCGATGCGCTGGATGAGCTCGAAGTCTTCCTGGGGGTTCCTGCGGGACAGGTCGCACACCCGCCCCCCGCCGACGCTCATGCTGCGCCGCCTCCCGGAGCACGCAGCTGCCCCCTCAGCTCGCTCCGCCGCAGCCCCCGGGATGGCGAGGTGGGGGAAGGGAAGGAAGGAAAGAGGGTGAGCAGGTGGGTAAGGGGAAAGGGGGGGAGGAGGTGGAGGGAGAAAACGACTCGGAGCAATCACCACCGACGCCACCTCCCCCCGTTCTGCTCAAGCAACATGGCGCCCGCAGTCACCGTCTGCGCATGCGCGCAGGATCTTCAGCTGCCCGGCGGCTGTCTCGCAAGACTTAGGACGCAGCGGGCGGGGGGCAGAGGCGGCGTAAGGGAAAGGTGAGGCTGGTAGTCATCTGGGCATGCTCGAGGGAGAGAGGCCTGGAACACCATGAGGCCCAATATTCGGACCCGAGAGCTGGAGCAGCTGGTGCGGCCTTGGCGATTTGTGTCTTCCAGTGCTCAGCAGACCGGGAACCGGGGACCACAAGTACCTTCTTGGCTTGGAGGATCGGCGGACCCTTGTCGGTCTTGGCGGGATAGAAGGATAGGATGTGCAAACCTTCAGACTTGATTTCTATTAAGCTTTTTCATTTAATTTGTAAAGCTGTGTACCGGCTATGTAGGTTTTCAAGGCGGTATTTGGATAAAGTTGTTTACAGTACTGCGCTTTCTGACGAATTTAGGTTCATCGGTCTGATTTTCACGTAAGTGTATATAAAGTCATTTTTCCACCAGGCGCCGTCCGGAAGGATGGGAGTGCAATTCGGCAGCTATGCTGACCCTTCACAAGACCGATGGTCACTTGGACCTTCCCTGAAGCACTCACTGCCTTGTAATGTGGTGTGCTTGTTTAGAAGGCGGGTGCGTGGGAGAGGAAAGGCTGCGATTCTGAAGTTGGGCTGCACACACAACTCTTGTTGACGTAGATCAACAAGCCTGACCAACAGCAGATAGCGAATTCATCTTGGGGAGGCATCAAAATCCTGTGGGCGCAATGATTATGTTTGGGTAAAGAAGTCAGGACCGCCCTATTTTTGACACACTGGTCCTAAACCTGTTTTTTCCTTTTTAAATAGTTTGTGATATAATCTGGAGAAGTCCGATGTTTCTATTCTGTTGTAAATCTGAAGCTTAGCTATAAAGAAGGCATAAGATAGAAAATGTATTTATTATATGAATATTTTATTTTTCAATAGGTAGGGATAGGAATTTTTGTCCTAGATGTCAAAGCACAATGGTAGCTACAACTATTGGGTACCTTGCTTTCTAAGGCAAGAATTCTGATTCTGGCAGTAAAATGCTGTGAGTCATTTCTGTGAAGAGGAATGAATCCTATCATGGGTAAATAATACACATTCTAATTAGTGTTACTTAATTAGTTTCTAGAATGTTCCCTGTAGCCGATTTAACTCTGAAGAGTACAAAGTTTTTTCAAAATGTATGTATACTGAGGGAATATGTTAATATGTTCTATGGTACCTAGTGTTCCCAACAATAAATCACAATCCCCAAACCACTCTGGATTCTAGGTGTTGGACTCAAATGTTGGCAACTGTAACTTTTGTTTAGACTCGGGAATATTTTATCATAATATTTTACTTTTAATTGCAATACTGTAGATTAGTATAGCTGTCCCTAACTTGCTGTCCTCCAGGTGTGTTCTGCAATGAAATCCAGAATTCCTTGGCAGCAAATTTTTTATTGTCTAATAATTCTAAGAACTGTAGTCCAAGTGTTGACCCTAATTCGGAACCGGGTTGAGGAATGGTAATTTAGAATCTCCAGGTTCAAAGGCTGTAATACATTTATGTTAATATACGTGAATTTACTTCTGGATAGACATTAAGAAGTTTATAGAATTAATTAGCTCACTTAATATCACTGCCATCTTTTCCTTTAAGTGGATTTGGATTTCAAATCACTTTTAATTGTTGTTTGAATTGAACCTTTTCATGTCTCTTCTATGAACTTGATGTGGAAAATTATATTGTAATATAGAAGTGTTTTTGCTTTTTAATTTTTCCTAATTAATATATCCTTAAAACATACATAGATAATACAAAAATTTTAGTTTAATAAAACCAAAATCTCATTAGCTATATTTATGCCTTAGTCTCTCATAACTGCTATAACCTCCATTGGCTCTTTCATTATCCAGGATAGGTATCTTACATATTTAATGGGTATTGTAAATGGGCTATACAGTATAGTAGGATCATTTTAATAACTCATCCATATGTTTTGAACTCCTGCTTGTGAAAAATAGTCATAATTGGCTGGTTTTTGTTTTGAAGTTAACCAATACACTAGAAAACCAGTGATAACCTCATGCTTTGTATAAAATATGTGGCTTTATATTGTATATTTACTTATCAATACCACGTGCAATTATTTAAATTATTCATTTGTTTTACATAATTTATAGTCAGCCCCAATCCTAAAGGACTCTGGGCTGCAGATAACCTAGAATAGAAAGAAGCAGCAGCAACATAATTATAAATAACCAATTCCAAATGAGCACAAGAATGGAAGGTAACCATAAAGAAAAACAAAGATTAAACTAAAATAAAACCTAAAATAGGTACCCATGATCAAAAGCACATTCCTAAACAATAATATAGGATTATTTAGATTGAGAATGGTAATCAGTCTTGATAGCTCATTCATAGCCATTAAGCTATTAAAAAATCTAAGTGTCTATCTTTTACATTTTATGTTTTATGATATAGTTCCATTTTATCAGTTCTTTTGATATATATCAATTTATCATATATATATATATATACACACACACATACTATATGTGTGTAATACACACACATACAAACACACTCACTATATATATATAAATATTTCAATATTTTTAGGTTTTTAATATATGTATGAATGGAAATATTTGTTAAACTCTTTCATCACAGCCTTATTTAGATTTTACTCTATTTACAGTTTAGTATATACCCAGAGTGATTACCATGCATTGTAACTGGAAATACATTTAACATCTTTGGCAAATAAAAGTTACATTATTTAGATTCACTGTCAACATCTTTTATTGCTTTTAGATGTTAGTTATGCCTGCAGTCAAATGTTGAGACTCTTGTAAAATTGCAAATGGGAGACCAGTCTTTTTTTTGGAAAAGGGTGCTCTGCTACTGAACAATGGCTCTGCCAGAAGGAAAACATCTCTCAGTATGTGCTGTTTAACAGGACTAAGCAAGTTAGAAACCATGAGCAGAGCTTTTTCAAAGCCATCTGAGTTTAAAAATTGTGTAAAAATTGAATGAGTCCGAATTTATCCCAGTTGTCCATAAAGACATAATTTAATCGTATGTAAGGGAGGAGGTGGGCTCTCAAAAGGGATTAATTTAAATCAATATTTAAATGACAACGCAGAATGTTCTGGAACTGATTGAATCTGTTACTTATTCAATCTTTTGTGTGTGCTTTTTCTTAAAAAAAAACTTTAAATATATGCTTGATATGTTTTTTGTTTTATATTTTATTTTTTTGCTGTATGTCAGTGGTCCCCAACCTTTGCGGCTTGGTGGGTGTGGAGGAGAGGGGAACCGAGCCACACTAGTGGTGGGCCAGTGTGCACGCACATGTGCACAGTTTAACTTGCACAAGTCGAGCTGCACGTGTGTGCACACGCGCCGGCCTGCCGCTTGCAGAAGTCAAGCTGCATGCATGCACACTGGCCTGCCGCTCACATAGCCTGGTTCCAAATAGGCCACACCCAGCAGTGGACCATGGCTCAGAAGTTGGGGCCCCCTGCTATATGCCATCTGGAGTAATTTCTTGTGAGAGGTGGGTTCATATAAAATTGATAAATAAATCTTTTTACTGTGAACCCTATATATTGCATTATTTATTTTATTTATTAGATTTTTTTTTATCCCACCTTTATTATTTTATAAATAACTGAAGGTGGTGAACATACCTAGTACTCCTTTCTCCTCCTATTTTCCCCACAATCACAATCCTGTGAGCTGGGCTGAGAAAAAGTGATTGCCCCAAAGTTACTGAACTGGCTTTCATTCCTAAGGTAGGACTAGAACTCAGTCTCCTGGTTTCTAGGCCAGCACTAAACCAATTGGCTCTTTGTATTATGTTTATGGGGGGGGGGAGAGTTGTGATTTATTAGCATGGAAGTTTTATTGTATATTTTTGTTACTGTAAACCAGAAAGTCTAGAATGATTCCGTGGCGTACAATAAGGATGATGTAGGCGTCTATTGAAATTTGGCCAGATTGTAGACTTAATGAAGAGTTTACACAACATGGTGCATGCCAATCAGGAGCCTTTAAGGGGCTACATTATGTTATTTTTTAAAATGTATATCATAGATCAAACATCTCATGGCCCCATGTGGTATCTTAATAGTTGCAGAATATGCTTATTAATATTCTGATTGACAAAACACAAAATAGCGTTTGTGAGACTTGGGGCCCACAGAGAATGGTCCTTGTTTATTTCAGGTCAGTGGCTGAAATGGTGATGGTGCTGAATGAGTGCTACTTACGACTGATCCTTGAAGCTCAGACCATTTGCGACCTTCTCTGCTGGCTTCCCACAAGCAAAGTCATTGGGGATACCAGAAGGGAAAGTCATAAGTTGCTCTGCTCTCCCACAGCAATGCATCATGGCCTTCTTCTTCCCTGGGCCTCCCTGCATTTGTACGGATGAACCAGACCTGCAGCCCTCCCTCCCAACTCATGTATGTCCTGGGTTGGGCCTCTCAGGACCTCCCTCATCCCCTGCAGCACCCCTCTAACTCTTTATTGGAGACTCCTGCTAATACACTCTTAACAACCCATGTGTCTTGTGGTTACAGTGGTAACTAATACTGCCTGAATTGCCATCATTTAGCAATGTAGTCATCTAATATTGTTCTTGGTGATCACATAGTTTAGTGATGGCAATTCCAGCCCCAACTGTTATAACTTGAGGACTACCTGTGCACCATAGTAAAACAGTTCCACCGGCCAACTTAGGGAAATGGAAGTCTAATTTATTTATCCCAGTTGATGAAAAACATTTTAAAAAAATAGGATAAAAATATATTTGTTTCACCACTTTCTGAATCCAGGGAGTGGGGAACACATCAAACCTGTTTTGTATTAAAATGTAGAGACACTTCCATTAAGTTCTGCTTCTCTTCAGGTTATATGCAATTTTTGCATTTGGATAAATGGGTAGATTGGCTGCAGCCTTTGGGTTTTGTGAATAAACCCCCACTGAGTCATGTGAGAGCCTTCAGCAAATATTCTCAACATTGAAAGGTCTCCGCACCAAATGGGTGCCTGCATTTACTGTGCAAGATATTCTGGTGGTTATTTCACACCTAGTGAATTGGAATCCACACCTGTTCACATATAAATGATAGAATGTTTTTGGAATCGATCCCTTTCTCTGCCTACAAAATACTAATCCTATAACACCACGAGGCAATGCTAATTAAACAATGAGATCATTTGGCATTTTCACATGCTCCAATAAGCCCTATTCTTTCCATGCGTTTAGTCCTGTTTCAGATTCTCCATTCCTAAGTTATAAAAAGCTGCAATAGAATATGCTTATCCTCCTGAAATTCCCTCCTGCAGTCAGTTGGACTAACTAGAATAAACGAGAAGACACGTAGTATTTCCTCATTAAGACATAGGATCTTCGGCCGCGCAGCCTTGCTCAGTCCTCTCGCAGTGGG